CCATCAAGTTGGAGGCCAGCACGCCAAGTGAAAAGAAATACGGAACTTCTGGAAAGTTTAAAAAGATCGCTTCAACGTGCCAAGCAAGATGGACGGCTGGAATACATACGTTGTTAAAGAAGAGAATTAATAAATGATGATGCGTTTCAAATGTAGAAAAAAAGGAACGAAAAAATCTCCTTTTTATTTGACACTTAATACGAAGAAACAAAGAGAGGGAGAGAGAGAAAGAGAGAGAGAAAGTATGAAAAGTGTTGTTTCATCTCTCTTCAAAATTTTTCGCTCGATATTCGGCATCTTATCATGATGGGAAATGGCGGAAAGTCGATTTGAAGACAGCATCCAACGTTTTATTTGTCGCTACGACCACCGTCACGCCAAAGTTATTACATTCCGGTGGTGAAGAGGAGAAAGGAAATACCTTAGTCTGTTTAGGAATGCTGTATACGAGTAAAAGACAGAGACACAGAGAGAAAGGGGGTGGGGGGGGAAAGAAAGATAGAGAAACTTAGTGAAAAAAGAAGGACTGACAAATGTGATTTGCCAATGGAAATTACGTAACCATTTTAGAAAAAGTTATATCACTAAGTTTCCGACAAAGAGAAATAGAAAGAAAAGGAGGAAGAAGATAAAAGAAAAGAAAAAAAAAAGAACACTTTTATTCGATATCGATCTAACCAACAAGCTCATGTCCTCAAAAGACATTAAAATCCATTGGCACTTTATTCGATTTTATTGTGAAAGTTATGAAACTTATTTCCCCACTTTCGATCGTTTCAAGTAAAAAAGGTTATGTGCTTTATCGACGTATCATTATTTAGGGTCGATAAAACGTCCGCCAAGGTTAAAGAAATAATTCATAGTATAACATTAAAAAGCTTGAATGAATCATACAAATATTTAGGGAAGGGATATTTGATGTGAAAAAACGAAATGATATACACACTTAATTTTAAAATGGGAAGAACGAAGAATGAATAAATTAATTAACCATCCTAATTTTGGTTAGATAAATAAAGAACTATCTTTAAGGAGAGTCTCCCTTAAATATGTGTATGTGTGTGAGCGAGCGTAATTATATAGAAGCTCCGAAGAGGTACGAATGTGTGAAAACCGAGAGGGTATTAATAAATCAGGGAGTTCTTTCCTTGGGCTTTCCTTTTTCACTCAACGAGCTTAAGAGAATTTAGGGAGCAGACTTCCCCATTTCCAAGCTCTCCCTGTCCAAGTGTTCTAACTAACACGTATAACATACATCTATAGTATAGAGGGATTAAAAAGAAAGGAAAAAAAAAAGAAAAAAAAAAAAAGAATAAACACCGCACAGATTGTTCAGATGATACTACATCAAATTGAATGACTTTTAATATCCATAAGTAATTAAATATTTTTAATATAAACAATCGTTTCAATTAAACATACATTTCTCATTATTATATGTCTCAATGGAATACTATTTCTCATTTCTATTTCGGTATATTCTTCAACGTTGTACGACATGTATTTTTTTTTTTTTTTTTTTTTTTTTAGCGAGTACCTACTACTTACTTCCGTGTTCGCCCACAATTATGCAAAGAGAGAGGGGAGGAGAGAAAGAGAGAGGAAGAAGGAACAGAAAAGAGAACAAATAAGAATAATGCAGGTGGATAGTGCTAACCAGCGCTCCGAGCTCGAACATAGTCGTTGGTGGTCAGAGAGTTGGAGGGTGGTTGTAAGTGGTTGGCTCGAGAGAATATGTTTCCTCTTCCCTTCCTACCAAACTATCCTCTACACCCTCTTTTTCTATTTCTCTCTCTCCCTCTCTCCCTCTCTCTCTCTCCCTCTTTCTTTCTTGTTCTACTTTTCTATGCGCTTCTGTCTTTATTTCTTTCTTTCTTTCTTTCTTTCTTTCTCTTTTCTTTTTTTCTCATTTGACTTTTTTTACATTTTACTTGTTTTCGACCTAGTCATAGTTAGCCTAGAAACAACCCCAAAATTTCTAGATTTTAAATACTTCCTCGATGAATTTCTAAGATGGAAATAAGAAGAAGAAAAATAATAAATTGAAAATTAAAGTATCGATCGTAATTGATGATTGAAAATTTCTTAGGGAAAAAGATTTGTTCGTACGGAGTCTCGTTAAATTGAAAGTAAATATCTACATTTTATGAAACAATTCGATCGAATCTGAACTAATCTAGATCTTGCTCGGCTGAAAAGACTCGTTGATCTCTTTCGATCTTGACAATGTTAGTAACAAGAACAATCCGTTAGTCGAATTCTCGTCAAGAGTATCACGAGAACGCAGACACAAATGTCTCTTTGCCTCTGGTAGCACCTCTCAGCCGATCGGCCGACACGTTTTCACGAGGAATCGATTAATTCGGCCAATCGCGAGTGCAACGAGCTGCATTCAAGACTAGCATCGTATACCTTTGCGGTCAAACACGACTGCCGTTCCCATTCCAACATCCTAGCTCGAGTACGAGACAACGGTTTCTCTAACACATGCATTAGAAAGAGGAAGAGAGAGAGAGAGAGAGAGAGAGAGAGAGAGAGAGAGAGAGAGAGAGAGAGAGAGAGAGAGTGAGAGAGAGGAAAACAGGGGAGGCAGGGATTGCATCATTCAGTCGGAGCTGCACGGTTGCAGTTCTAGAACCACGAAGCTCTGTGGAACTTCAACTAATGCCATTTACCACATCTCTTCCCTCTCTCTATCTATCTGTTTCTATCTCTATCTTTATCTCTACCTATCTATCTACGTATCTGTCGCACTCCAACGAACACATGCTATATTTCTATCATTGCACATTTGAGATAGTTGAAACAGCAGAATCATGTTCAACTCTCACGGAAATGACTTAATCTACGGAATCTACTATCTACTGCTATTTTCTTTATTAACAATTTCGATCGATATCGTTCTTCCTTCCTCCTTCCTCATTCTCTATCAAACGAAATTAACAACAATTTCGTAAGCTTCCTATTAAAGTACATACATCCGCGAATAAATGGCATTGGCTCCTACAGGATTGGCTTAGCGAGTTGTACCAGAGCGATCCTCACTCGTGCTCATGTAACCGTAGAATGGTATCGCGTTAGGACTATATCGCTCGTTACAAGCCACGTCGTTACAATTCCAAAAGCCACAAAGCTTTCCGGGAACTCGAAAGCCAGCGTCGTTCTACGTTTATCTCCTACCTATTTAAAGTCTATAATCTCTATGATTACTTCTCCTACAACGAATATTACTTTACTAATAGTGTCAAATTATACTCTATTCGATTAACTTTCTTTCGTTTGATTAATATGTTAATCATTATATATATATATATATATATATAATATTATCATAGATTTTAATCGTTTATTATCTATGAAATATGCCTCGTAAGATCCTATAGGTCTTTCTTACGAGAGAAATGTCGAAAACTTTTATTCCTCCCTAAAGATGAAGCGCGAAATAAAAATACAAAAAGCATACTCCCCACCTCTCCTCTCCTCCCGAGAGTACCATGATAAATCCAGCCATTAATCTCTACGTTCGCATCTGACGCATGCTATTCTCCGAGGTACTTCTTTTGCTCGATAGCTAGTAGAAAACAAAGACTAATGCGAATCGCCATTCAGCACGTTTCACACTGGAACCAACTAATAGTTCCCATGCGTTACGTTTCTGTACATCAATAAAATTCTATTTCTCTAACGTGTGAAAAGTTAAAAAGAAACTTTGAAGGATTCTATCAAATCTATCATGCTTTTAGATCGATTGCATAAATGAATTCGCACGAGACCTCTTCAACAAAAAAAGAGAGAGAAAATATGAGAGAAAATCAATGGAGTGGACGATGAAGGGATCCTTTCTCTCTCTCCTTCACTCTCTCTCTCTCTCTCTCTCTCTCTAGATGGCAACTAGCTTTTTGAATTACCATTTAAACGGATTCGAATTGTCCTCCGCATCCACGTTGTTCATCACACGACCATGTTTTCAGAGATTATAGATCGGCTACCAGTGAGTTGAATAAAATCCGTGTGGGATTCCTTGAATATTTCGAAATTCGTTTTTATAAACCGTACCATTGCGCTTTCATTAAAAATATAACAAATAAAGATATTTTAACAATAATAAAAAAAAAAAAAAAAGAAAAAGAAAAGAAAGGAAAGAAAAATTCACGACATTTGTTACCTTCATTCTTTACTAAACTAAAAGATATTTTACGATCGATTTGTAAAATCAATTTGTAAAATTAACCAACGTGAGAGATTAAAGAACAAAATAAAAACAAAAAAAAACGTTAAAGACTTTAGCTGGGGTAAGATGAAAAAAAAAAAAAAAAGAAGAAGAAGAAATAAAAAAATACAGAAAAAAGAAACACAAAAGAAGATGGGAGGAGAAGAGAATAGAAAAGAGAAGAAAAGAAAAGGAAAAAAGAAAAAAAAAAAAGAAAAGAAAAGAAAAGAAAAGAAAAGCCGTCGTAGGGAAGTTTTCTCGGAGCGTTTGCCAAACCCCGTAAATTTTGGAAGCTATTAAGTTTATCGGGCCGAAGGAGGAAGAACCGTGCCTTCTCTAACTTTAATAAATGGCAGGCGAGGAGTTTGCGTCTCCTCCGTCGGTGCAATTTACGAAAAAAGCTCGTCTCTCATTTCGCCTTAATTCCACGGTTACGTGCCGAACGTGGAGAAGGATGAAAGCCGATGCTAGCGATCGATACTTAGTTATAATAGAAAAAGAGCCGATAGAGCCGATAGATATTGAAGTGGCTGCTTCTATCAAAACGATCGAGCCATTCAGAAAAGAGAAATTGATTTTTCCTTTATATATACATATACATACACATATACATGTGTGTATGTATATATAAAGTATGTCGAGGAAAACAAGTTTCTTTTTGTTCTTTTTTTTTTTTTTTTTTTAAAGTTCGATTTGGACAAGAAAATACGAGTTTATAAGTAACGTTTACGAAATGTAAGTACAACAATCTGCAAGTTTAGAAAAGCCCTTATCGACGTCTCGAATCGTCTTATTCGACAGAAATGTCGTCGGCTTCCTGTATTCCCACGAAGCTCGTCGCCGTCGTTGCCGTTGAGAAGGGAAGGGAACGTGACTTTCTTGGGCTTTTGCCCTCGGCAACGCTATTTCCACTTCTGTTAGCGGATCGTCCCCGCCCTTTCTTACGATCCCTCGTGGCTGGCGTTTTGCGAAGGCCAACGTTTCTCGATTTTGCGGATGGTCTCCGAGGCGATGGCAGTCTGGCAAATCTAACTGCTATTCGATTCGCTCGATCCACCTCGTTGCCGATAGGCAGAAAATAGTGTCCTCGATATCTTCGTAGAATTCCATATTCTACGCCACGTCTTAATGCCGCCTTTACCTGTATGCGTGTGTGCGTGTGTATTTTGTGTGAACGACATATATTACGATAAGTATCGTACAGAGAGATAAGAAGTTTTCTTTTTTTAGAATAATTCAAATCGATAAGAAATCTTCTACTAGCGTAAGTGATATCGATTGAATATCTAGTATGTACTTTTAAAATTATTATTTTTCTTTTTCTCTTTTTTTTTTTATAATGATAAAATTCTAATGATATTTCAGATCATTAAGTGAGTTTAAAAAGAAGTAACTATAAAAAATTATTAAATTTGATAACGATTAACCTGTCTCTTAACACGTTTTTCAGGCAAATTAGAAGAACTTCTAATATAAGCTATAATCTTCTTAGATGTAGATCCTTTAGTCTCTCGAAGATCTTGTATCGCTGATACGATAAGAGCGGCTATTTTCATCGGCTTCGTCTTCTGCCATTTTCTTCTTACGTGTTTTGAGAGGAGCTTTCTAGCTTTCCTTTTAATATTTTTCCGCGCCATACGCCAAATAATAAATTTTTTCTCCACAATTGGACGATAAAACTTAAACTCGTACTCGTAATTTGTACCATTAGATTTCTATCGAATTGAAAAAATCATTTCGATCACTCGACAAATTTTTCTTCCATCGTTGACCTGTCAAACGTGACGTTGTTTTTAATTATATTTCCGTACGTCGTTTTCTTTCGTTTGTTTTCCAATTTTCTGATCATTTATAACAAAATTGCGATACGTTGTTTCATTGGGTGAAATATAGCTGCATGAATTGAGGAGCTACGAAGAAAACGTTCTCGTTGGAAAATAAAGAAAATAATTATTGTACCCATTTCGTATTTCACGCTTTCGTAGACGCCAAACAAAATTTTCATACGTTTCTGCAAATTTTAATTAATGTTGAGAATAATTGCATATTTATTAAAAGAGTTAACGCAGCGTGTACGAAGAAACTGGAACGACATTGCATACATAAGTTTTTTTTTACGTGATTAAAAACGAAAAGAAAAGAAAAGAAAAAAAGAAAGAAACAAAAAAAAGGACGAAAAAAAAAAGACAAAAAAAAATTGAAACGTTACGTTTTTTTTTATATTAAAGTTTTACAATAAGCATTTTATATAGAAACTCGCGCGTTAAATTAAAAGCTCATAATGTTCCATTATATTTTTAAATATTCATCCATCATATATACATATACATATATATATATATATATATATATATATATATAGAAACGATTGTACAGATATATCTGTATGATCAATATGTACGGACTTCATGTACGTTATATTGTAATATATGAATCATTGGTAAATCAATGATATATAATCGTAAACTGAGAGTTTCATAATAATTGATTATAAATATTACTTAGTTTAATTTTTCAATATTATTCAAATCAATTCGTGAGAAAGAAAAATTCTTTTCATCCTAAATGCAGTATTCTGATATCTCCATTTACTTTATAACTCGTCGTTGAAGGATAAATAAAAAGAAAAATTTTATTACAATGGCAGTAACGTGAATACATCACGAAAAGTCTTCGTGTAAGGAGAAAGAAAGAGAGAGAGAGAGAGAGAGAGAGAGTTTTTCTTAGCTTTTTACAACGATCTCGTATACTCTCTTCACTACTATCAGTAAACTTCCTCTCTACAGTGCACATTTCAGCATTTCCTTGTCTCTCGATCGGTCAACTTTACGATAAGGATTACTTTCTCGTCTTAGAGTCGAAAGAAAAGGAGTCGTTGAATAATGTATAAACGTAGACGCACGAAGTCTAACTTTGTTTTATTTTATTTTCAAGTCGAAAAATATCAAAGCCAACTGGAGGAACAAACTGCCAGCATAATTAGCTTTTCTACCAAAGCCACGAATTATCTCGATTCGCATAACCCACGGCCAATTAGTCAGTCGTTGCTCGGATATAATTCAAACGAGAGTGGTTTATTTCAACGATCACGAATCCTACTACATCAGCCTTCCCTCAAACTCCTCTTATTATCAAGAAAGTTTTTAAGAATAACAAAGAAAGAGAAAGGTAAGCCTTCTACGAATCGAGGAATATATTATATATACATATAAGATAAAAGTGGTAAAATTAAAGTTACCCTCGTACGATAACGCGTTCAATGAACAGTGCTAATAATTATAATAACAATATTAATGAAGCTAAGTCATAACAGGACCGGAGCAAAGATTATTTTACGATCGACGACACGCAAGTTCCGCAGTCGTTAACTTTTATCTAATCTCTAATCCCTTGCACGCAAAAAACTAATTTACACGAGGAAGGGTGGAAGAGGGTAGAAGGAAAATATATCATATAACCCTCGTGACAAATAGAAATGTTCTCTTGCTCGGCGAGCTGGCAATAATCTCTCGTGAAGTGCTTATAACGGTGTCAAATTTATCGTTTAATTCCAACACCAACTTCTTCGCCGGTGAAACGCATAATATTTATCTTAAATCTCCTGCATTTTAAAAAGAAGAAAATATCGCTTGCGTATTTCTTATTAACAATCTCGTCTGAAATTGCACATGTGTATGTGCGATAGAAATAGAGACAAAAAGACACATAAATATTTACGATTGTTAGCAAAGAAAAAATAAAGAAAAGAAACAAGCTCTAAACAAAGACATAATGGTAAAAGCTCGAAGAATTAATCATTCAGTATCCTCGATGTAATTCCCTTTTCTCTTTTCCTCTCTCTCTCTCTCTCTCTCTCTCTCTCTTTCTCTTCCTCCTTGTCTCTCACTTAATCTTTTTCTTCTTCTTCCAGCTCATAAACGACGCAATTGTTATCCCTATGAGCTTATAAGATCGTGTAGCGTGAAAATACTGACGTTATTGTATTTACAGGAACGTATTTTTTTTTCTTCTCTTTTTTTCCAAAATGATTTATATAACTACCAGCTGTCTGTTCTCGCGAATAACTCCCTCGCTTCTCCCCCCCCACCTATTTCTCTCTCTTTTTCTCTTACTTGATGATAAAATAATCTTTAAAAAGATGAATGATCTATAGTTGATGATATATATAGAATGATATATATATATATATATATATACATATATTACATAAAATGGAAGTTATCTAAAAATATTTTGCAAACGTCAAGCCGACGACCTTAACGTTTAATATTCTAAGTGGTTGCATAATTAAGTTCACGTTATTGCTCGTGATTAATTCAGCGAATACCAGGCTAATTGCGCGAGCACGCGTATATGCCGCCTAGCTAATTATTCATAGGAGGATGGGCCTCTGCACTGGGCCAGGTTAAAACGAGCGTTTATTTCGTTATGAATTCGATCGTTTCTCGATGAAGAATATGTACGTACGTACGTATTCTGTATACATACATATGTAAATATCTATGCAATTTTTGTCCGCTGACAAAAGAAAAGAAAAGAAAAGAAAAGAGAAAAAAAAACAGAAGAAAAAAAAACTCTCTTGTTGGTGCGATTTTAACGAACAAAAATCGACGACCTCATTCCGCAAGCGAGCAAAAAAATCACCCGACACGAGTATACTTTCCAAACGAATAAATATTTACGATGAAAAAACTTGATCTATTTTTTATACGTCCTCCCCCGCCATTGTCCCGCTCCTATCCACGACCAACACCGCTCCTACTCATCGTCGTTCTATATTCCTTTACGATGAAATGTTGTATATGTATATGGTATGTATATACGTATATTAAAGAATCGATTTTTAACGTGTGGTAGAAACGAAGACGATTTTTCTCTAACGACCGTCATACCAAAGTTCCTTTCAAAAAACGAATCAACCCAACCCACCAACCCCCTATACCCTCATCAACTAACCCCTTGCCTATAAATCAGTAGTTAGAGAGAAACGCTGAGAAACGTAACGGAATTTCTCTTCTTTGTCTTCGAGGACATCGATCGATATGAAAGTGAGAGAGAGAGAGAGAGAGAGAGGGAGAGAAGAAGAGAGCTTTCTAGAATGGCTCAAGATAGAGAGGATCAATTAATCTCTTTGATCTAGCTTGAAACTAGATGGTTAGATGCTGGAAGATTCGCTCGAAGGAATTCGTCGTTGGTTATACGAGAAAATCAATGGTGAATCTAAGTGTTAAAGAACATTTTATTTTGGTGTTCAAGAACAATTATTTTTATCTAATTAACGTCTTGACTGATCGTGATAATCATCGACGAGAAGCACACACACACATACAGAAACATTGCTACGTTTTCTAAATGAATTACATTAAAAGTCAAATAATAACAAATAAAACAATTTCAATAACGCATAATAAAAATAAATAACGACATGAAATAGAAGGTGATGTTATTTGACGATTAATAATTGTTAATAAAAATACTCATTTTTTATGAAAATAAAATAATAAAACTATAAAAATAATGTGGTTAAATATAGAAAATTTAGCGATTAACATTGTTAACGAAAATATAGAAACAAGTATTATAAATTGAACGAAAAACAAATTTATAAAATTATACGTCAATTGATATAAATCAAATGACATTAAAAAAAAATTCTATTCTTGGTGATGTTAATTCTTCTGCAACATGAACACGGCTGATTCATTGAGCACAACAAAAGATATAGTGCACATAGGATGCAAACAGTGGTCACCCCATCGTATTACACGACGTAGTGCAAGAGACACTTGTCTGCATTCATTTCAATACTCTCTCAATGATATCAACAAGGAGAAAAAAAAATAAAAAACAAAGTCTTTCTTCTGTTCATTATCAGCTGTCTCGCTTTTTATACCTTTATATTCGGTATCTTTCATTCATTCTCTTTTGACTTTTCAACATTTGTTCGTCAAACAAAAAAAAAAAAAAGAGAAAAAAAAGAAAAAGAAAAAACATTACGGCGTTTCATCTTCAAATAAAGATTGTTTATATTTATATTTTCTGATAAAAATGTTGACACTTCATTGATATAATTGAAAGGAAAATTCTTTTATTTTCTTTGATATTTCATTCTCCAACACGATAGTCGTGAAAATCTGATGACATTATATTTTCTTTTTTTTCCCCCTCGTCTATTCTAAACATCAAAATATCTCTCTCTCTCTCTCTCCCTCTCTCTCTTTCTAACGAACGATCTCGAAATATCTTCAAAACAGATTTCTCCTTCAATTACGCCATGATCTTCTTTTCAACCAGCTCGCCACGAACGAACAGAAAGAAGACTGGTTGGAGATACGAGCGTACGCTTTCATTGTGTATACGTTCTGCCGAGTAAATAAGCTCGAAAAAAGCACGGCTCTCTCGTGACTATAGTCAAGAGAGAAAGAAAGAGTTCTCTCTATGATTGTACACACCTACATACATATATATATATATGTGTATGTATATATATATATATATACACCTATATGAATACGCGATAATACGTCGAATGGCTTCTCGAGAAATTCTTTAGAAGAATGAAATCGCGTATGAAAGAATTATCCTTTGAATGGGACTTTTTAACACCCAAATGCTTTAAAAACTTTATCATAAAAAA